ATGCCATCCAAACCTGGAGTTTTCCCGGACTTAAAGTATTTAATTGCATCCAGAAGTTCCTTCTCTGTAATTTTACCTTCACATGAGACTTTCTGTACCACTGTTAATTTTACATTATCAATAGAAAATAAATCCCTACAATTAGCTTCAGTTAGAGGAGATGGAGGCGACTGAAACGAAAACACATGCTTAAAGTACTTTGCTTCCTCCTTTAAAATATAATTTGGTGAATCATGGGTGATGCCGTCATTTGTAACCAGTTTCAGTAAATTGTTTTTGGTAGCATTTCTATGTTGAAGATAAAAAAATTATTTGGTGCATTTTTCCCCATATTCCATCCAGTTTGCTTTATTTTTATAATATAATACACTTGATCTTTCTTGAATAAGTTTCTCCATTTGTTTTTGTTTTTCCTCTAATTTATTCTGAGCCTCTATGTTACAGTTTGTATCGCTATCTATCTGTTCTGTTAGACCTTCTATTTCCTTTGTTAGTATGGCCTCTTTTGACCTAAATTGCTTTTGTTTTCGAGATGAGTACTGAATTGCATGGCCTCTAAAAGGCACATTTAAAAGTGTCCCATTCAATAAGGGGATTTGCTGTACCTATGTTATGTCGGAAAAAATCTTTTATCATCCAATAGGCTTTGATTAAATTTCCAATATCCTCGCCCACGTGGAAATTCAGTAAGAGTAATGTATATGCCAATTATATGATGGTCCGACTGCATTCTGTCCCCTATCAACACTTTTTAAACTTTTGGCGCCAATGAGCATGACATAAGAAAGAAGTCAAGATGACTAGCTTGATTGAGTCTCCGCCATGTATATCTCACTAGGTCAGGATATTTAAGCCTCCATATATCTACTAGTTCTAATGTATCCATGACATTCACAATTTCCTTAAGAGCATGAGGGTGATAGTTTGTAGTGTGATTTCCTTTACGGTCCATTGAGCTATTTAAAACAGTATTATAATCTTGCAGGGTTGATAATTTATTATATATATTTTGTCAAAGAAGTGTGGATCATCATTATTTGGTCCGTAAAGGTTAATGAGCCATATCTGTTTATGGTCCAATAACATATTCAAAGTCATCCATCTACCTTGCGGATCTGTTTGGACAATTGAGTGGAGGCTATTCTAGCAGCAAAGGGGGGACCAATTCCATATTAATGGCCATGATTTTGGAATGAGATGTTCGACAAGCAGATGTCCACATACACTACATGACCAAAAGTATCTGAGATATATAAGAAAGCCCAGGGCCCGCATCCACAAAGCGTCTCGGAGTAGAAAATTGGTCGTAAGTACTGAGAATAGAATACATTTTACTCCTACTCTTATGGGTAAAAATAAAAGCTATGCATGAAGTCTCTTAAGTCATTAGTGTCCTACCTAGTTGACAGAGACCTCATGAGCTGTCCTAACCAGTTAAGAGTTACAAGCAGGTGTCTTGATAATATAAAAAAAATCAGCGAGTCAGTGGTTCCTGCACCACATGCAATTGCTTTGGAGTTTTTAAAATTATGTTTTGATTTTTCTATTATATCAATCTATAAATAAATCTAGAGACCTACATGCAACAGTATCTCTTGTGCTTTTGACAATGCTTTCACAGGAGGCCTATTTAACACGATATGCCTAAATACTTATAACCACTAGGCTAATAAATAAACAAATTTTTCTTTCAATTACTTAATTACCTACATCATGTTATTTCAAGTTATTCCTTTGGAGTGAAACGTCACATTGTTAAAAAAAGATGCCTAAATTGGGCTTATGTTAACTTTGTGTTCGATGAAAATGATAGACCATTCAAACATTGGATGCAACGTTGTGTGCAACATTATCGGCAAGGGGCTTGATGCCTACTGTGCCAAAGCGATTTAGAGTTCCTTAACGGGAGTGACGATGAGTGTGTTGATATAACAGTAATATTCTCAAAATTCCTCTTTTAACAACCATCAGAATTGGATAAAAAAAAGGTTATGCATGCCAACATATTAGGCAATAATTAAGAGTAGGCAAAGTGATCGTGTCAGGCAAAAATGGTATCAAACGTTTTACCATTGCAACATTTGTTGTACAGTCACATTCACTGTGGTTGGTTATTCCCCATTATTTGAAACTAAGTCAACGAGCGTCATAATCTTTCCTTTGTGGTACCTCATACCAGCTAAGATAAATCGAATCAAAATCAAATCAAATTTTATTAATTGTTCAGCAGTCTTATAGCTTGGGGGTAGAAGCTGTTAAGGAGCCTTTTGGACCTAGACTTGGCGCTCTGGTACCGCTTGCTGTGCGGTAGCAGAGAGAACAGTCTATGACTTGGGTGACTGTAGTCTTTGACAATTTTTTGGGCCTTCCTCTGACACCGCCTAGTATATAGGTCATGGATGGCAGGAAGTGATGTACTGGGCCGTACGCATGCCAATCAGTTGCCATACCAGGCGGTGATGCAACTGGTCAGGATGCTCTCGATGGTGCAGCTGTATAACTTTTTTAGGATCTGGGGACCCATGCCAAACCTTTTCAGTCTCCTGAGGGGGTAAAATGTGTTGTCGTGCCCTCTTCACAACTGTCTTGGTGTGGGACCATGATAGTTTGTTGGTGATGTGGACACAAAGTAACTTGAAACTCTCGACCCGCTCCACTACAGCCCCTTCGATGTGAATGGGGACGTGTTCGGCCCTCCTTTTCCTGTAGTCCACGATCAGCTCCTTTGTCTTGCTCACATTGAGGGAGAGGTTGTTGTCCTGGTATACACAGCCAGGTCTCTGACCTCCTAAACTTTTATGAGTTGATTTTACTCCTGGCTCAGAGTTTGTCTGGGCAGTGTCTTAACATAATCCTAAAACCTACTGAGCAGAGATTTTTGTTAGTCTTCAAACAGCTTTTAACAAGATTCCTAGGACCTTTTCTGAGATGCTTTGTGGATACGGGCCCTGGATATTATACTTTTTTTTACCCATATTTAACCCCTTTTTTGAGTGGCACTAAAGTACTTTCATTCATTTTTAAACCGGTACCGGGTTACTACCTTCAGACGAGTCTTGTGAAGCTTGTGGGCATTGTAGAGCAAAACAACCAACATGTACAGTACCAGTCAAAAGTTTGGACACACCTACTCATTCAAAGTTTTTTTTTTTTTTTTTTTTTTTTTTTTTTTTATATTTTCTACATTGTAGAATAATAGTGAAGACATCACAACTATTAAATAACACATATGGAATCATGTAGTAAACAAAAAAGTGTTAAACAAATCAAAATATATTTTATATTTGAGATTCTTCAAAGTAGCCATCTTTTGCCTTGATGACAGCTTTACGCACTCTTGGCATTCTCTCAACCAGCTTCATGAGGTAGTCACCTGGAATGCATTTCAATTAACAGGTGTGCCTTATTAAAAGTTAATTTGTGGAATTTCTTTCTTTCTTAATGCGTTTGAGCCAATCAGTTGTGTTGTGACAAGGTAGGGGTGGTATACAGAAGATAGCCCTATTTGGTAAAAGACCAAGTCAATATTATGGCAAGAACAGCTCAAATAAGCAAAGAGAAGTCCATCATTACTTTAAGACATGAAGGTCAACCAATTCGGAACATTTCAAGAACTTTTAAAGTTTCTTCAAGGGTAGTCGCAAAAACCATCACGTGCTATGATGAAACTGGCTCTCATGAGGACCGCCACAGGAAAGGAAGACCCAGAGTTAACTCTGATGCAGAGGATAAGTTCATTAGAGTTACCAGCCTCAGAAATTGCAGCCCAAATAAATGCTTCACAGAGTTCAAGTAACAGACACATCAACATCAACTGTTCAGAGGAGACCGCGTGAATCAGGCCTTCATGGTCGAATTGCTGCAAAGAAACCACTACTAAAGGACACCAATAAGAAGAAGAGACTTGCTTGGGCCAAGAAACACGAGCGATGGACATTAGACCGGTGGAAATCTATCCTTTGGTCTGATGAGTCCAAAGTTGAGATTTTTGGTTCCAACTGCCGTGTCTTTAAGACGCAGAGTAGGTGAACGGATTACCTCCGCATGTGTGGTTCCCACTGTGAAGCATGGAGGAGGAGGTGTGATGGTGCTTTGCTGGTGACACTGTCGGTGATTAATTTAGAATTCAAGGCACACTTAACCAGCATGGCTACCACAGCATTCTGCAGCGATACACCATCCCATCTGTTTTGCGCTTAGTGGGACTATCATTTGTTTTTCAACAGGACAATAACCCAACACACCTCCAGGCTGTGTAAGGGCTATTTGACCAAGAAGGAGAGTGATGGAGTGCTGCATCAGATGACCTGGCCTCCACAATCACTCGACCTCAACCCAATTGAGATGGTTTGGGATGAGTTAAGGAAAAGCAGCCAACAAGTGCTCAGCATATGTTGGAACTCCTTCAAGACTGTTGGAAAAGCATTCCAGGTGAAGCTGGTTGAGAGAGTGTGCAAAGCTCTCATCAAAGCAAAGGGTGGTTACTTTGAAGAATCTGAAATATAAAATATATTTTGATTTGTTTAACACTTTTTTGGCTACTACAATGTAGAAAATACTATAAATAAAGAAAAATCATTGAATGAGTAGGTGTGTCCAAACTTTGGACTGGTACTGTAGCCTACGTGTTTATGAGCGCTTTCGATGATGGGGTCATATTAGTTTGTAGCCCAAACTGTTCAGACGATTGGCACATCAGTGGTACTGACTTCAGACGAGTCCCGTGGGGCTCAGTGTCAGCGAAAAGTTATTTAATGTCACCAAGGATGAACATCTGTGGACACCCAAATGGGGGGTTGGAGTGCTCAGTTATCTGTGGCACCAGATGAATGAATTTCCCATATTGTATTCATTTTTAGGTTGCTTCTAACAGCGTTTCATATCCTCTGCATAATTTATGTGGGTTGAGTTGCTGTGTTGACTAAACTAGACTATTTGTGGCATCATGCTGGCTTCTGTGAATTTCAACCAATGTGAAGAAGACAACTCACAAATCAATTGCATGTATTATTTATTGAATGTAATAGCTGTATCATTATGGTATTACATGTAATTATCTTGTAGCTTATTGGCTCTAGTGGGGAAAACAACTGTTGATAAATGACAACATAGCTGATTGCCATTTAAATCATATATATTAATTCAAATGATTGGGGAAGAGGAGGAACACTATCTAAAAAAACGTTTATTTTAAAATAATCATATTTTCTTACATTCACAAATATTCATTCATGTAGGCATCCATTATTGCATTTGGTACGGACTCCTTTGGTATGGACTGTTTACATGCTTATAGTGACATCCCATGCTGAATCAACCAAAATCAATTAAGTCCTCTTCCTGAATGACATCTTCCTGTCCCCTTCTCAACCAATCAGCAATCAGCTCCTTCACCTCCTTGCCAAAGTCCTCATGCAGTTTGCTAAATTCCACCTTGGGTCCCGACCCAGTCACTGACCACTCCCCTTGGGGCGGGGCTGGGACATTAATAGGCACAACATTTGCATTTCTCTTGGGCCAGAGTTTCGGAGACCTCTTATTGGTTGGTTTAGAGGAAATGGGAGGGGCTTGTAGCATTTGATATGTGCGAAAGCTATGCCCGGCTTCCACACCTGGCCCTGGGTACTGTGAAAGGGTCGCGGTCCCAGAGTTCAGCCAAATCAGTGACGGAGTTGGCCTCTCTGTGTTTGGGCCAGCCAGTGTAGACTGCTGGGATGGGTCACCAGGAAATACTTTCATGGCCTCTGTGGAAGGAGGAAGAAGCGACTAAGAAAAAAGGTGCTAGGACATGCAAGGCCTTTTCACTAAACACCATTTCTATGAACACAGATGAACATTGAAGGTGCTTTGCGTATGTAAAACCATCATGTGTATAAGTAGCGGGAACCACTAACCCATAAGTACATTTCAATGCGGTCACCAATCCTGATCATGGAGATATTTAGGACGTGCAGGGTTTTATTCCAGCCAAGCACTAAAAAACACTTGTTTCAACTAAATTGAGGACTTGATGATTAGTTGAATCCGGTTATTTAATTCTGGGCTTGAACAAAACCCTGCACACCTACTAGCTCTCAACAACCAAGCTTGACCACTTGTCTCCAGCTACTCTCATGACCAGGCAAACACCCTGTTGATGCATCTACTCCCAATTATCTAGCTTGTCTAGTGCTGGGATGGAACAAAACCCTGCACCCATTCACCTTTGTACTGTTTCTCCAGATCCATGACCAGCGCGGCCAGGTAGCCGTGGTTGGCTGACAGCAGGGCCCTGATCCAGCTCTCCTGGCTGGGCTGGTCCTCAGCGGCGAGCTTGTAGGTGCGCAGGCCCGGTTCACCGCTCCACACCAGCGAAAAGGCAAACTGCTCCTCGGACTCGCACAGCTGCACCGAGCAGCCCTCCAAAACAATGACGCCAAGCAGGTCGTGGTGGTTGGGCCGGTCCTTGTAGAAGAGCAGGTTTGCCTTCAACATGAACCAGCGCTTCTGATAGGAAGTGTTTCTCTCACCCTGTGTGTCATGGTACAATGGGATGTTTAGTCAAAACATTTTTACATTACATTTTAGTCATTTAGCAGACGCTCTTATCCAGAGCGACTTACAGTTAGTGAATACATATTTTTTTATACTGGCCCCCCGTGGGAATCGAACCCACAACCCTGGCGTTGCAAACGCCATGCTCTATCAACTGAGCTACATCCCTGCCGGCCATTCCTTCCCCTACCCTGGACGACGCTGGGCCAATTGTGCGTCGCCCATGAGTCTCCCGGTCGCGGCCGGCTGCGACAGAGCCTGGATTCGAACCAGGATCTCTAGTGGCACAGTTAGCACTGCGATGCAGTGCCTTAGACCACTGCGCCACTCAGGAGTACCCAACAATCTGTTGTTCACAGTTCAACAGGTCTGATGTCAGTATCAGCCAGGGCGTATGCAAATAGTTATTGTAGTTGAGTCATTCAGCATGTACATAAAGCATGTACATAAAATATTATTTTCCTTAAATCTAGCACAAATGAATGTGCTTTGGAGAGAACATTTTACATATCTGGCATTAGTAATGTATAATAAAAAAATAAAAAAACTAGTTTACTTTAGGTGCAGGCCTCGATAGGCACTCTTCCCTTTTGGAACCCTTCCCGTTCCAAACTCAGCCTACATAGTCAAACACGTGCGCCTGGGCAGTTTATTGCTCAATTGTCACTGAGGGGGTTTCGATTAGGCTAAACCGAGCACCGAGCTACAGCCCGTCAAAATTGTACTTCTGCTTTATCCCAACCCTTCTGAAAGACACACATTCAGTGCCTTCAGAAAAGTATTTACACCGCTTTACTTTTTCCACATTTTGTTGAGTTACAAGCCTGAATTTTAAAATGATTAAATTGAGATTTTGTATTACAGCCTGAATATAAAATGGATTCAATTGAGATTTTGACCAGCAGCAGCAACCTATCCTTTTATTTATGTTTAGAAAACAAATTTGAAGGCAAGAATTGTGGGGGGAAACCACTCATTTTTATGCAACCTAATAACCCTAAAAGGCGTCAGCTGGCGGATTTACTTGCACGTGACTAAAAGCTAAACTGTAGCTGGTCCCATCAGATAACATGGCACATGTTAGCCCTATGCTAATCTGACCAGGTTCCAGTGATTATATCCTGTAACAAATTATTCAATAGCCTATCAAAAGATTTTAGACTTTATATCCACCAACCAATGGCAATTCAATTAGGTCAACCATGGCCACCAACCATGGCCACTAGAGGGATATTTTAAACCTACAAATTCACAGCGTACTTTTCTTCTGTAGGTCTGTAACAAAATGTCAAGTGCCAATATCGCATTGATGCATCCTTGACTAGCTACTATTAACGTTAGACAACACTTTTTCACATTTTCGCATATATGACAAAGTCCCACATTTTTGTTTATCTGTTTCACACCCATCCATGTGCTTTTATGGAAAATAGATAAGAGGTCCTTACAACATGTAAGTTTATCGTACACCATGAAAAAATTAACAAATAGCCTTATGAATTTGTCAAATAGCAGTCATGTTGGCTACCATTATTTACATTTACATTTTTAGTCATTTAGCAGACGCTCTTATCCAGAGCGACTTACAGTTAGTGAGTGCATACATTTTCACACTGGTCCCCCGTGGGAATCGAACCCACAACCCTGGCGTTGCAAGCGCCATGCTCTACCAACTGAGCTACACATTATCACCCTTGATTCTAGGTGGCACACACTGCTAAAGCGATTGACTTGAAATCAATGGTGCACTTTACCCATGGGTTTGAGCCACCCTCGCATCAAGCTTTTTTGTTGAGGAAAAAACTGTTCACTGACGGTCCTTGATGCTCGATTCAAAATGCATGTGACAAATTGGATTGATCATAATAGTGCATAGCCACAAAAGGTTATAGCCTACTAATGATAGCCTACACGAATGTCTTCTCGTCAGGAGAGGGCGTAAAACACTCTATGGGTAGGCTCCACCAGGCTTTCACCTCACTGACTTGGAATCCGAGGCTACATATGGAATACGACCAAGGTGGTTAATGGGGTTCATCATGAATTGAGGTGCACCATATCAAGTCCTATATGCATTAGTAGGTTACAGCATAAAGAAGAGACTATCTGATGTGAATAATAATAATGGTGCCGGAGGGGATGGCTGCCGTTTTACGGGCTCCTAACCAACAGTGCAATTTTGTGTATTTTTTCGCATTGTTGTAACTTATTTTGTACATAATGTTGCTGCTACCGTCTCTTGTGACCGAAAAGAGCTTCTGGATATCAGAACAGCGATTACTCACCTCGAACTGGACAAAAAAAATTATTTAATGAGTCCGACGCGAAGGATATACTGCTTCACGGAGACCAGGCCCAAATCCCAGTCAATCGCGTGAAGAAAAGTTGGAAACACAGGGGGCGGAGATCGGGGTGCCTTATGAGAATTTGTCAGCGAGTGGGTAACCCACCTCTACCATCCGTTCTATTGGCCAACGTGCAATCACTGGAGAATAAACTGGATGATCTCCGATCGAGACTATCCTACCAACGGGACAATAAAAACTGTAATATATCATATTTCACGAGACGTGGATTAACGACGACACGGATAATATACAGTTAGCTGAGTTTCCCGTGAATCGGCAGGACAAAACAGCTATGTCTGGTAAGACGAGGGGTGGGGGTGTGTGTCTATTTGTCAATAACAGCTGGTGTGTGATGACGAGGTATTGCTCGAGACTTTCATCTATATTTTCTGTCGCCGTCTATTTACCACCACAAACCAATGCTGGCACTAAGATCGCACTCAACAAGCTGTATAAGGCCATAAGCAAACAAGAAAATGTTCATCCAGAAGCGGCGCTCCTAGTGGCCAAGGACTTTAATGCAGGAAAACTTAAATCCGTTTTTACCTCATTTCAACCAGCATGTCACATGTGCAACCAGAGGGGAAAAAAACTCTAGACCACCTTTACTCCACACACAGAGACGCATACAAAGCTCTCCCTCGCCCTCCATTTGGCAAATCTGACCATATTTATATCCTCCTGATTCCTGCTTACAAGCAAAAACTAAAACAGAAAGTACCAATGACTCGCTCAATATGGAAGTGGTCAGATGACGCGGATCCTACGCTACAGGACTGTTTTTCTAGCACAGACTGGAATATTTTCCAGGATTCATCCAATGGCATTGAGGAGTACACCATATCAGTCACTGGCTTCATCAATAAGAGCATTGATGACATCATCCCCACAGTGACTGTACGTACATGCCCCACCAGAAGCCATGGATTACAGGAAACATCCGCACTGAGCTAAAGGGTAGAGCTGCCGCTTTCAAGGAGCGAGACTCTAACACGGACGCTTATATGAAATCCCGCTATGCCTGCCAACGAACCATCAAACAGGCAAAGAGTCAATACAGGACTAAGATTGAATCGTACTACACCGGCTCCGACACTCGTCGGATGTGGCAGGGCTTGCAAACTATTACAGACTACAAAAGGGAAGCACAGCTGCGAGCTGCACAGTGACACGAACCTACCAGACGAGCTGAATCACTTCTATGTTCGCTTCGAGGCAAGCAACACTGAAGCATACATGAGAGCATCAGCTGTTCCGGATGACTATGTGAGCACGCTCTCCGTAGCCGATGTGAGTAAGACTTTTAAGCAGGTCAACATTCACAAGGCCGCAGGGCCAGACGGATTACCAGGACGCGTACTCCGAGCATGCGATGACCAACTGGCAAGTGTCTTCACTGACATTTTCAACATGTCCCTGACTGAGTCTGTAATACCAACATGTTTCAAGCAGACCACCATAATCCCTGTGCCCAAGAACACTAAGATAACCTATCTAAATGACTACCGACCAGTAGCACTCACGTCTGTAGCCATGAAGTGCTTTGAAAGGCTGGTCATGGCTCACATCAACACCATTATCCCAGAAACCCTAGACCCACTCCAATTTGCATACCGCCCCAACAGATCCACAGATGATGCAATCTCTATTGCACTCCACACTGCCCTTTCCCACATGGACAAGAGGGACACCTAGGTAAGAATGCTATTCATTGACTACAGCTCAGCGTTCAACACCATAGTGCCCAAAAAAGCTCATCACTAAGCACCTCCTTCTGCAACTGGATCCTGGATTTCCTGACGGACCACACCCAGGTGTTAAGGGTAGGCAACAACAGATCTGCCACGCTGATCCTAAACACAGGGCCCCTTAGGGGTGCGTGCTTAGTCCCCTCCTGTACTCCCTGTTCACCCACAACTACGTGGCCAAGCACGACTCCAACATCATCATAAGGTTTGCTGACGACACAACAGTGGTAGGCCTAATCACCGACAACGATGAGACAGCGTTAAGGGACGAGGTCAGAGACCTGGCAGTGTGGTGCCAGGACAACAACCTCTCCCTCAACGTGAGCAAGACAAAGGAGCTGATCGTGGACTACAGGAAAAGGAGGGCCGAACACGCCCCCATTCAAGTTCCTTGGAGTCCACATCACCAACAAACTATCATGGTCCAAACACACCAAGACAGTCGTGAAGAGAGCACGACAACACCTTGTCCCCCTCAGGAACCTGAAAAGATTTGGCATGGGTCCCCAGATCCTCAAAAAGTTATACAGCTGCACCATCGAGATCATCCTGACCGGTTGCATCACCGCCTGGTATGGCAACTTCTCGGCATCCGACCTTAAGGCGCTACAGAGGTCAGTGCGTACGGCCCAGTACATCACAAGCTTCCTGCCATTAAGGACCTATATATTAGGCAGTGTCAGAGGCCCAAAAAATTGTCAAAGACTCCAGTCACTCAAGTCATAGACTGTTCTCTCTGCTACTGCACAGCAAGTGGTACCGGAGTGCCAAGTCTAGGACCAAAAGGCTCCTTAACAGCTTCTACCCCAAGCCATAATACTGCTGAACAATTAATCAAATGGCCACCCAGACTATTTACATTGACCCCTCCCCCCTTTGTTTTTACACTGCTGCT